CACTAACTACGCTTACATTAAATGAAGTATTGCAAATGTGTAACTTAGAAATTGATCCATAATCTCAGTAATGTCTAATGAGCATAGTTTTATGAATCCTACAGAAATTACATTCTCACATTAAGGAATCTGTAGCCATCAAATATAAGCTGAACATGCTTCAACTCTAAACAGATATGCATAGTGTTAGCAGCATAGAGCTACACTTAAGATATTGTAAGATACGCAGACCTGTTGTGTTGATGAGGATAACAATGACATATAATGCAACCTAAACTTTCACTCGTGACGCAGCATCTGTACTGCTTCATGTCAATGGAAAATTCAGGAAAAATTCATCACCACTATTGGTGATCAAAAACATTGCAGCATTAAGTTTACTGTGCCAGTGAGAATGGCATAACAGACAGTAGATTGATAGTAATAGAGCTGACTAGATTCAGTTCTCGTAATCGACACAATCCATGTGCATAATAATACTATACACTGAATTAATGCACTAAGTGGCACAGTAAGGAAATTTAAACGAGTGATTGCCTTCTCCACGGCACTGCACTTGCAATAATCATGACAACCACCTACGTTTGCTAGCCAAGCAGTCAGCCAAGGAGACAATGGCACAATATAAATAAAGTTGAGGTATTTTTTATACATTGAGTCCACATAACTACATCAAACAGTGCAAATATACATGAAATCCACTTAGAAATAACCTCTCAACTTACGATAATTCCTGTCCAAATATACATATGGTGAGACAAATCCACATGATTACTTCTATTCCCACAGAAGGTTCTGTTAGCATTTACAGGTGATTTCGAAGTACTGATAGAATTCTATTGTCAAAAAGGACTGTTCTTCACACGAAAATAGGTTGAATTAATATCCTGAGACGTGAAGTCTCCATTGAATGATACCATGACGAAAGGTGCAGCATCTAAATAAAGTAGACTATTTGTGTAGATGACATTACCCTCCAACTATCCTATCTTTCTCATTATAGCGATATTTTGCTACAGTTCGCCTGAAACACTGATCGTTGCAACCGATATGCTAGGGGGTGTCGCAGTCAGATTACATGACGCGGACACCAGAATAACAGGCCAGAAAATGGGAATTCTCATCAATCCAGATAACATATAACGCAATTTCATTAAAAATTATTGCCAAAAAAATTTCCAAGGGAAATTTTGATAGCGCTACTAGAACATGGCATTTAACGTCTACCTTCTCGGATGCTTATTAGCGGCTCTTAAAATACTAGTGCAAACTGCTAGAGATATATCGTCGACCACTTGTGTGAACTCAGGATGTCCATAACAACTTGTACCAACCACTTAAAAATGTTAAACACCTCAGTCATCCGAAAGTCACAGTTTCAAAATCGCTGGGGCCGTGGGGTAATACGGATGCTGTCTTCCTACGATATTTTTGCAGAGCTTCTGTTTACCACTGTAAGGTGTGAACCACAGAGTGAAGATGTGTCGCAGTCCGCCCAGTGCATTTAAGGTCGTGTCAGTCGATTGAAGTGAAAAACAGTTGCATCGTGTGATACCTTCAAGTTCACAATAGCTCTAACACTTCTGGACGGAACTATCCTTCCTCCTTACTAATACAGTCATATCCAAAGCGAGATGGAAGACACAAATTTTGGCATCCAAATACCATACTTACTCTATAAATGAATGGGAATCAATCCATATGACCTGCTCAGTGTCAGGGTTTTCAATAGTTTCAGTGCGCCATGGATTAATCCCCTTCTCAGATGCACTGCGAAACTCATGTCGGCGTCAGCGGTTGTGGTTACTCATTAAGAACGGAAGAGTTTTCTGAAATCCAACTGAAGGTGAAGGACTTTGCAAAGTTCGGCACAGGGTGGACTGTTTGCTGAGTATGATGGGAGGATATAATGACCTGGCACTTCGTTACTCCTTTTTTAATTCTGACTGAAGTGAGTATATGAGGCTGCTGCGAACGAGTGAAAGCAGCTAGGAATGATTACTCAGTCAACAGAAGGATAAGTACGTGGAAAAATGCTCAGATCTGCTCCTCTCTCGGTACTGCATTGTTACACAAAATGGCACGGTCAGCCATCGTCTGTAGGCTATCTCGAAGGGGGCTTCGGGTAGCTAGTATATACTCAAGAATTATGACAACTCACACTGCAGGTCCATCTACACACTAAAACATTCGTCCAAGGCATTCCATCTCATTTTGTTAGAAGTAGTGCTACGAAGCTCAGAATCATTCGCTCTGCAGGCGGCGTCACCCGACAGCGCAAAGAGGATGTGGCAAGACTGGTTGGTGGCAACGTATGACATCAAAGAAATTTGTGAATTCAGGTGAGCTTCAGGCGCGTCACCTCGACTGGCCAGTGTGTTCATTTGTGTCAACAGAGGAACATTTCCGACCAGGTGTTTGCTGTCTTGTGGCATCAGTGTGTATTCCCATTCTTTCTCGATACCTATGTCAGAAAATACATCTAAGAAAGCTGTCGATGTCCAGGTCTAACTACCCTGGACTTAACGCTGTTCTTAGAAAACTTTCAGAAACTATTGCCAATAACCAACGCGAAAAACCAGAACACAAATTGGTGATTCAAGAATCCTATATTCTTGCGCCAATACAGAACCAACCACAAGGTTATTGTACACAAAGTCTGAGGATAAATGTTATAACAATGAATCACAATAATACTTCTGATAGTTTTTCCCTGTCTTCTAACAAACAGCGAACGATAGAACGATGACTGCAGTATCGATGACTCCCGCCAAAATATAGAGTTGAGTTTGAGCAAACAACCATGAATTGATCGTTCGTTCTTCAACTACTTTGACAAAAGCACTATGCCTTCTTTTCGCTGGTTGGTGTGGCATTAGGAGAAGCCTGACCACCGGGTTGAGGTGTCCTCGAATCCTACCTCCAAAGAGCAGTTCCAGTTGGATAGACGGACCCAGCGGTGATGGGCATTATTCCGCCTATAGCTCAACAGAAAAATGAGCTGTAAGCGTTTCAAACATTTAGACTAGCTGGCCTTCAATTGCAGAACATCAGAGCATGAAGGGCCGCAAATGTAGAAATTGGATATGGGGTCGGATATAGGTGGAGTGAGTTTGCGTCCATCGTTTGTTGAGTACAGCCTAGATAGAAAGACAGGTGGTCCACTATCTGGTTCGAAACATGTCCGTAAGGCACTTAAACTATTTTGGTGAACAGAAGACGTTCAGACAGGGAGTGGAAAAAGAACGAGACCTTGACAAGAAATCATTCTTCAGCGTTAATCAAAACCTATACGACAAAGCCGAGATATTACGATATATCAAACATTCGTATACTCGTTTATGTCAAGTTCTCACAGTTGTTATGATTATTCTGTTAGATAATTAGCTTCAGAATCCTGTCCAACGCCAGAAAGTGAACAGAAAATTGTTAGTGTTTCTTGCACGCATGTTTCCATTCTAATGAAGTAGTTTGTACCCCTCACATGCCCGCCCTCAAAGATACATAAATAGCAGGAATACTGCATTTAGTTTCATTCCTTGAGCAAGTGTTGTGGGATTCAGCTTCTTTGAAGTGTCCGTCAAGGGAATCAATAGTGACAATTCGTTGAAAGAATGTCTGTCGTTGATCGCCAAGTGTACATATCCGAAACGCACACGTAGGTGGTTCGATGATAGTTCAAGAAATTTTTCGTGATCGCTTCTCAGAGATGCGCTAGGAATGGTCATGTTGAAGAATTAACAACCAAGTCATCATTTAATGTATGATAATATGATGTGAAACCGTTTATTTCCCTGCGATATGATAATGAATATTGGTTTAACGTTTACCTTCCTTTTAATATGGAAGGTATGAGGCATTTTAAATGGCCGCGCGACTACACTCCATACCGCTCCTAAGGTGTTTTCAGAATTCACGCCTTGCCCATAAGAAATAAGGAAATTCATAAGGCATTCATCATTTATATTGTAGAAGAAGTCGGAAGGCTTTCAGTTATCAGGTTCAGGTCTTGAGGGTTGTTTCGTAAAAGAACAGCAGCAGAAAAAATATGTAACTCAAAATATATAATAATAAATAAATAAACTCAAAAAATATGTGTGTCTAAACGAAATAGATACGGTAGTGAGACAATTGAGAGCTACTAAAGCTTCGTTTTCGTGTGGTGGTGGAAGTTTGTTGGTGCCATAGATGAACACGATTGGCATACCAAGGAGTTTTACTACTTTCACAATCCATTTTTTCAAATTTCCTTGATTATTACGTAACTAAGCTTAGTTCGGGGGTAATTCTGAGAATCCAATATTCCAACACACAAGTTGGACCGGGGTCTTATATTAATTATTAAGTACTTTAGCCATATTCCTAGCTTGTAGGGTCTCTTTGGCTTATAACTCCATGGCCATTCAGGTGCAGTTAGTGGTTAAGGAATTTTGATGGACGGGAAGAATAAACAGGTAGGAACAATATCCCTCTTCATTCGTTGACGATATTAGATGATGAGTGGGTTTCCCTTGCCGACCAACGTGTCTTCGATATAGACTCAAACTTCCTTGATAATGCGCATTATCGGTCTGTATTCTGGGTAATTTTCTCAATTAGAGTCAGTCACTAAACCACAAACAGGTTTCGGATATGCATTTCAAGATAGTTTCTAAGTGTTGATAAGTCCTACATAACCAGTCATTAAGGTGTTAATCGGGAGGGCAGAACATCAGAGGGACATGGTAGTTTCAGGCATATTATTGCAAGAGTTAATTACTCTCGGTGAACTTATTGAAGTGAGTGTTTACTAGCTAGTAATCGTGCACGCACGTGACACGACGGAGTACAAATGCGGATGCTTGACGGAAGCCTTCAGTGTTGAGTGATGATTGCTGTGGTTAATAATTGGATTAGGTGAAGCAACTGATCGAGTTGGGGGAAAGTATATTAATTGTGTATAAGGAGAGTTTTACATGAAGTTTGTTTGGTTGTGGTGTAACAGCACTGACTACTGCCTAGTAGATCATATATATTTTCTATAGTTTGGTTTGTAAGGGTTAATTATGTTTTTACGAGTCGATCACGGATTCATATCAGTTACACAACCATTGAAAGCCAGGGGGTACTGGACAGCTGTTTCATCCTAGTTTGGGAATCATTGGCAGGATGATTGAATATTTCCTTCGTAAGCTGGGAAATCGAACATTTTCATGATGATCCTGTCTTTCAGAAGTAAATTCGTAGGAAAGCCTGCATATTCACAAGAGGAACTGCTATAGGATTGTCGGAGACTACCTAAATAGCTGGCAATTTTATCGAATTATGTATGTACAGTTTGTTTATACTAATGCTAGACTTTGAATTAGCGGTTTACACAAATGAGGTGGAAGTGCGTTATGAGTGACTTTGTGTTCGTTCTTCGGAGGTTGATTTCTATTTCGTATTGTATGAGGAAAGGGATTACAGTTTAACAAATGCCTAAGAAAAAAAGTAAAGGGAACAAAGGTATTGTGTATTCTTACCTATTTATCGTTATTTAGTTCAGGTAAACCAGTCTGATTCGCTGGAGTTAGCAAGTGTTATCAGTCTTCAGAGTGATGAGAGTGAGACGCCAACTGCTTCATCTGTCGACGTAAGTTCAGTGTGATGCAGTTTTCATTCGGATTTTCGTGCTAAGCGTTTTCAGGTTGTTATAGACTTCGATGTTTAACTGAACATTTCAATTCAAATATCATTAAGTTGTGAGACAAATCGTTTGCAAATATGTGCGCATTCAGTTATTTTTAGGGCACATAAGCTCCATCTGTATCCGTAACTACACCCATTTTCCTTGATTGTGTTGTCTGCATACATTTTGGTCTCCGTGTTCGGGAGCGTTGACTGATTCATTTGTATGCAAAGTTCTAGGTTGACTTATCAGTTATTCAAACATTTTGATGTAATTTAATTATTTATCAAGGCTGTGCAGAATCAGCAGCTGGATATTTGTTGGCTATCTTACTTTAAGCGGTAGAATGTTCCACTAGAGATTTGCTGAGATTACTGACTGCATGAAGCAAGACTCATTGCTATCAAGATTTTTAGTCCAAGAACAGTACGTCATCTCTCTGGGAAACTGAACTGTCACTAACATGACAGCTAGAGTATTAGTGTCCTTCAGTGACCAGGTTGAAAAATGTCATTAACTCGACTCTACTTCCGCCTTGCGTGTATCATAACATTTATTAGTCAGAGAGGGTTAACTATTAATACCGGACAGCATCTGACTGGTTTCTCAATTTATCATAAGCTCAGTTCCTACACCTGAATCTAAAAGTGGTTGTTTTTAATTGACTCTAGTGGTCCTATGTGTGAAAAGGTTTCAAACTTGCACAAGTGGGTTTCGTTTTTGTAGAAATTCCTACCTAATGCAAGACAAATGCATATAATCAGACTTCCAGTCAGATATGTCTATACCTAACTTATTGTAAACACGTGTCCCTGGTTGTTGGCTTACGAACATTGGCTGTAGTGCCTCAGGAACAATTCATTGTAAGTTATGTGTATTTGTAATCATCATTTGGAATAGTCCATTCAACTATTGAACGTCTCTCGATTCAGCAGAATACTCCTTATTAATCTTTTTGTCGACCTAGTATCCAAATGAGTATTTTGAATATGCACTTTGTCTTTGGTCAGTGAGCCATTAGAATCTTGCTGTTTAACTTTGCGAGGTGAACAGTCTTTGACTTGAATAAGTATACACTTTTTGGCGTATATAACGCTGAGCAAAAATATAGGCTCGTAGCAAAGATGGTGTCGGAAATATTCATAGTGCCAGTTTTCTCTGTAAGATTATGAGAGGTTTTTAGCTATAGTATTAGTAGTTCAGTCTGTTCCGTCAGTCGGCTTACGTTCCCATGGAATCGTTAGTCTTTTTTACACGAGGTACTTAGAATTGACTGCTTCTGAGGCTGCAATATGCTCTACTTTCAAAGGCTCGATGTTCTGAGTTGCTCCACTCTTGGTGCACGAAATGATAATGCCGTTGCGGACTCCGACCATCAATAGGGCAACTGTGTAGTCAGTGTAAAAATGGTTTAATATGGAGGTCTGAATGAGTTGTCTGTAATATGGCTAAAAAATAAACATTTCAGACTTATGCAACTAGATTTCGGGAGTCTATTGCAAGGTTTGTATTAATTTCACATCTGTATCATGCTGGATGTGTTCTTAGGTAGTGTTGATGGATTTACTTACATGTCTTTTACCGATGAAACCAACTTAATATGCATGGTTTATCTGCTCTCCTTTTCAGGCTGAAGATGAGTTGGCCTTGCAGTTAGTTCTCGATAAAGTTTGTTCAGCAATTGATTCAATGGAGGAAAAAAGAACAGAAACTCGAGTTCAAGCTGTGCAATTACTGATTGATTCTTTTCGTTTGCATCATTTATGCTTGGATGGGTCTTGGAACTATACAGAAACTTTGGTCACCAGTATCGAAAACAACTTCAGGAAGGGGAAACCTCTGGATCAGTTATTAGCTGTTGATTTATTGACAATATTTTCACTACAAATTGATCCACAAGAAATTCCTATATGGTTTGAAAGGTTTTACCCTCTCTTAGAGCCTATTGTGCGTGATAATGCAAGGGGGCTAAAACTTAGAGCGTCTTCTGCTGTGTGCCTCTCAGTGCTTCAGTCCTTGTCAGGTTATTGCGATTTTATTTCACCACTAGAAGTCATGAAGAGTTTTGAATTTGTCTTCAAAAGTTCAACATCAAAAATAGATACCGTGGAAGAATTATCTAATCTTTATGTGGCAACATTAAAGGCCTGGACTCTAGTGTATACATTTTTGTCAGCGTACGATGCAGGGGTGGTGGGCAAGGCTGTACTTCCTACTCTGCTGCCTTTGCTTAAATGTTCAAATGTGGATGTTCGGATAATGGCCGGTGAATCTTCTGCTGTCATATATGAGCGCATTCGCACTGAGGTGGATGATAAATTCAAAGGTCCATATTATAGCGAACTTATTCATTTGCTGGGTGAGCTGGCTACAGATAGTTCGAAAAACCGATCTAAAAGTGATCTCAAGAAACAACGCCATTCCTTTCGAGAACTCATGGAAGCTGTTGTGCACTGTGAGTATCCTGAGAAGTCCATAGATTTCGGCGTAGAAGTTCTAACTTTATCATCGTGTGTTGCTCATTTTCATTATGACTTTTTATGCTCTGTATTGGGAAGTGGGTTAAGATGTCACCTTCGCGAAAATCCACATGTTCGTGACCTGTTTGACCTAGGGCAACCAGTAATGTGTCATCAGAATGCTGCAAACCGTAAGACTTTAAAAGAACAGAAAAAGTTGAACAATATGTTGGCATCAAAAACTCGCACACAAAAACTGAGTGTGTATAGAGACAAACGACGCGAAATGCTCAATGAAATCGAGTAAAACGTTATATGCGCCACTTCATCCTGTCTGTTTTCAGATAACACATATGTCTAAGCTATTGTACTTGTATGTCTATTTATCGTTCATTCGACTTAATGTTTTCATTTCGTCTTGCTAAAGTACTGCACATGTATTTTATTTTTATTATATATAGCAATTATTTTGCATGAAAGACACTTTTTGCTATTCTTAACATAGTTCAATTAGGATTCATAATTATACAATGTTATATATCAGAAAATATGCAATGTCCACCGGTAATCTTTGGGTAATACTTACTCTTAGCTCTACTTGATTCTCATTTCGAACGTGATACGATTTCAAAGACAGTATATTAGGCTTTTTCTCAGTGTATCGACGTGATTTTTATTGTCGAAATTTTACCTCCGTGTTTCTTAAGTCCATAATAGCAATATATGTATACGAGTTTGGTTACATCCTTGCTCTTACTTTATGATTAATACAAAACTTAGTAGGTCGTCTCTTTCTAAGGTCGGAGACAAGTCTGAACATGATAATTACGGATAACTGGCTTCAGTAATATGGTATCTAGGATCTTAGATACACAGTTCTGCGAAGACTAGGTGCGGTGTGGAATAATTAAGCTTAGGGATCCGACTGACTTAATTGCTGGATTAAAAACATGCATTGTCTGAGGTTTTGTCCTCCTAGGGGTTCCGGAATAGAGCCACACATACCAGCATCTAACACTCGTTATATCTCTGCTTGAATACGGCGTTTGACTCTGTCGATCAAAACGTGTTATGAACTGATGGACGTTCGTATAAGGTGCCGCTTAATTTTGACCTTGGAAATTGTCTATTCGATTATTAGTTCCCTCAAATTACGTGTAAACATTTCTGCGGGATGATCTTGTCACAACTTCTCGAGACATTTTTCAGTGCAGTTTCAACAGGTTACACTTTGTGTGTGGTAGTTCCTACGTAGCTTTATGTGTCTCAAAACCTTGTTGGTTGGTCTGATGAATACACATCACCAGGCAGCTGTGTTTTTGATTGCACAACGGATTCGCATACAACACAGCTTACTCAAGTCCATGTTTGATAAACAGAGAAAGGGTGTCAGGCGGAATTGCGATAATGTGATGATAGAAATTATTAGTATCTAGGATTGCTTTATGAATCAACAAATCTGTGTAAGGATGTGCCTACCAAGCAAGATTCAGTGTCCTAGTTGTGTCACACGATTCCGCTCTCCTGCCAGGTTAGCCATCTTAGTAGAGCATTATTATTATTTATTATCTATTTAAACGCAGAAAAACTTGGTACAATATGGCACCAAGAAAGATGTGCCACACAATATTGTGTGAGGGCTGAGATACTGCCCGGGTGCCCAGACCGAAGCAGGTGGTTTTCCTACGGGACCACCCCCCGAGCCTTTGACTTGGAGTCTAATCCGCAAGGCAGCGGAGCAGCGTCAGGAGCTGCGTTCCCATGGTTGCCGGTGACCCATATGGGTTCATACGCCGTTTGATCCGATTGAATTCTGGAGCCCATGTACCCCATGGTAACTGCTTTTAGTTTAACCGCTATCCAAACAACCTTCCTGACATGGTAGCACCTGCAGAGACATGAGTCCCAGCCAGTTTAGCTTTATTGGTCACTGCGGTATTCAAGCCCGACCACCACGGCAAGGTAGCACTTATCGGTCGAGCTTAGTAGAGCATGCTTACTATGGATTAATGGCAAAAGTTCTCAACTCAGTTATGATTAGCCAGCTGTCGATTAGTCGTTATAATTGTCATCTCTTCATTGGTAGAAGCAAAAGTTTCGCTAAGATAATTTCACTTAGTTGATTAGTGTATTGTAAAACTGAGATTTGCTTGTATGCTTTCTTTAGGTTTGGTGACTATCTTTGTGATGTTTGTTATTTATTGTTTTGTGGATCATCAGTTACAGCAACTGAAACTCACCATTATGGCAGATTGAACATGTTGCTATCAGTTACTTGTTTACAGGGTTATTTTCGTTAAATAAAATGTGGATATTGTGTCCTCCGTATTGTAGGGATGCTTATACAAGCACATTTGTGTCAAGTTAGACTACTACAGTTGTTCCGTAAATGTTTCAAGTTCCAATCTAGTGATATTTGTGAAACTTCGAAAAGTTATTAGTTTTTATGGTGTTCGGGGGATACAGACTAATTCATGTTATTAGAAATACAGGATAAAAACACGAGTGGCCTACTGGATCATATAAAAGGGAGGACTGTGAGCAAGAGCTCTGACTGCAGAACTTAAGGAGTTGTACGTCCACAATGCTAGTATTCTTCTTGATATTCTTTTAAATTAATAACGAAGAGATTATCTTTACGTAGCTATCTCTTCATCTGAGGGGAAAATCCTGTCAACTTGACTGACTTTGTGGTGACTTTCTTGGCATGCAAATTATTCTTACTGTAATATCACATTTGTCCACTTCATTCACTCTATTACTGTGCTAAGTGGACATCGCTAAGTGTTTGACCCCTAGCGCTGTATGTTGTCATACTGGATAATACAGCGAAATGTATCACCACCCTAAATCCTGAATATAGTTAAACTCGATGTTGATATCGAAGCAAAAGTTACCGTGTTACTTCAAGAAAACAGTACATCAAACAGGTTTAACAGTGGTTAGTTAACTGCTAATGATACCTTAAGTTCTGTCTTCATTGATGAACTTGATCAACGGAGCAAAAATAGGACTGATATTTGTTTTAAATTAGTTAGCTTTCACAAAAATTCCTTGGTCTTAGTCCTTCAAATGGACAGTGAAGGCAATTACGGAAAAAGAATGACGCATATATTGAGTAGCCATCTCACTATACCCTAAGGTGATTCAGAGTGAATGAATACCAACTTCTTCGGTGTAGGTGTGACTCATCGGTTTAATTACTCGAATTTTGGCTAGTGGGTCTCGTTTTCGGATCACCCTCTTCTTGCTTTGACCTAGTCAATTCTACAAGGTGACTAGCCTCCAAACAATAAGCGTGCTTCGTACACTTGTGGCACATGAGACGTCTGCTCAAGGTGATTAAGCGACTAATAATGACTGTGCGCGACTGTAGGTCAGCGACATGAGAAAAGTAGGAAAATATAACTTCATGCTGTAACGATACCTAGTGTGAGAGAGTGATGGTTTTCGCCGGGGTAATATTTAACAGTATCCCGTGTTCTAGTTGAGATATTTAGGCAATAGTGTGCTACTATAAAACAATGGAATCAAGTTAAATGCTCAGGTGTTTGAAAAAAGTATTACGATAAGGTATCATAAGAGGCTCCGCGTGATGTATGTTAAGCACATGATCGATCAGCTAACACAGACTTGCGTTTCTGATTTATTAAGACCAGGATTTTGATAACTCCTATAGTATAGGAATCAATGATACGCTTTCTGTCATATTCATAACTTGAGGATGTGAGGGATGACCGATTAACATAGACTGAGCTTCAACCCACAATGCCTTAGTCTTATTTCCAACTACATAGTCACTAGTAGGTCAGGGGTAATCAGATTGTCGGAACATACGAATTTAGCCAAGGTAAGAATGGTTGACCCCGAGAAGATAAGTAATTTAGAAAAAGCTCAGCAATTGCACTGCATGCATTAACACACAACCACACAATAGGGTGGGAGAGGGTTAAAATTCTAAAAAGTAATCTAGGTAGGTGGAGAGAGAGGTTGATTACTGAATCCTTGTTCATCGAATCTACACCCAACACATGCAATAGGAATGAATCATCACTCATACCCGAAATATGGAAAATAATACTACCAATCAAATCAAGTGAAAAACAACGGAATTATATAAATTAATTTAGGAAGTCGTGTGATTACCTTGATATGATTATGAGCAATAAATTGTGCTCGAAACGTCATCAGTAAATATTACTGTATAACACTGTGAGACTCTATCAAAATAAAATTTACCATATAGTTGACATATTTCTTTATAAACATTATTTACATATAATTAAGATTCTTATTTCAGGCTGGCTATACCTTTTAGGTCTTGTGCAGTTTGTTTTATATTCGAAGAATACCTTAACCACTTGACGTGGTCACGTAAATACCATACGTTTGTGTACCATCATATAAATGGTGCAAGATATGCATGTGATATGAAATGAAAATAAGCACATACAGTTCGGCAAATTCACTCAGCTGTACAATCAAAATTGCATATATAGTTACTTGTTTGTGTGTGTATGTCTGCATAGCACAAGAATAAAATTTGGTTTGGAGTGTTGTCTACATCTTAAGATATTTCAAAAGACTGAAGACTAGTCAAATCGTATTAAGGAAGTGAAGGTCAGTGTATGCACAAATGTTTGCGTAATAATGCAAACACGTGTAGAAAAATTAAGTGTTAGTGGAGAGAATTTTGTGACAAGTATCAGAATAAATGATATGGTAGGCGAATAGAGTGAACAAAAGGAAGGTTAAGAAAACTATAATTATAAATGTCATACGGAAAAATGTACGGAATATTATTAATAACAAAATGTTGATAACGTTTGATAACTTGGAATTGTACCTGAAGTAGGATGAAAAGTTTCTTCAGTGTACATAAATCAGGGTTTTCTGTTGGAATTACTAAGGCCTCGGTACGCTTTTGACAGTTGCCACTCAGCCATCAAATTCACAATTGAAGCAGAAACCGGCCAAGCAATCTCCTTTCGACTAACGTAGAAAGTTGATGGGACATTGAACAGATCAGTATATAGAAAAACGTACTCAGAATGGCCAGTTGACAAGCTTTTACAGTTGGGTACCCGTAAATCTCAATCGAAACCTAATAATATACGTTGCAAAGAGGATCTCAGAAGTATGCAGCCCTCAGTTAGTAGATGGCGAGATTGGGGTCCACCAAGTAGGAAGTGAGGACAAATACTCACCGATGACGGCTGGAGGTCGCTGTAAAAAGTCGTGAATTGAATCCGCGGGTCATTGAACTCCATCCCAAGGGACTGAATGGTGGACGAAGTTGATCTCATAACCTGAAAATCCCGGGTTCGATCCCTTGTGGATGCGTACTGTGAAGGGCCCCGAACTTGGCCGAAATAGCTGTCCAGTACTCCCTGCTAGTTTCCAATGGTTCTCTAAGTGATATCAGCCCGTGAACAGACTAGAAACAAGTTGTATTCCTACTAACTTACAAATTAGT